AGTTATACTCCAGGCTCTGTACAGTACACCTAGAGTTATACTCCAGCCTCTGTACAGTACACCTATGCTTATACTCCAGGCTCTGTACAGTACATCTAGAGTTATACTCCAGGCTCCGACAGTACACCTAGAGTTATACTCCAGGCTCTGTACAGTACACTTAGAGTTATACTCCAGGCTCTGTACAGTACACATATAGTTATAATCCAGGCTCTGTACAGTACACCTATATTTATACTCCAGGCTCTGTACAGTACACCTAGAGTTATACTCCAGGCTCTGTACAGTACACCTATAGTTATACTCCAGGCTCTATACAGTATCTGTATAAGTTTGTATCACAGAATGTGCGCGAACATTTCATGCTAACATAGGGACACATAGTATTGACAAAATGATTTTAGAATACAATGAATTTCCTTTTCCCCAGCACCATTCCAAAACTAAAATATTATGTTTCTAAAAAGTCTAAAATGCAGATGTCAACAATTGAGATTTTATATCCTTCGTAAGTATGAAGAGGCCGACGTTTTGGTAGCAGGTTGTAACTATTCCAAGGCTGTTAGACTCTCCTAGGGCACAGTACAAGATGTGGAATCATCTTACCACAGTAATGGCCAGTAGTGGCTCACCACAGTACAAGATGTGGAGTCATCTTACCGCAGTAATGGCCAGTAGTGGCTCACCACAGCTTCTGTAAATTGCCTTGTAACTACTTCAACATTTTGTACTGTTGCTTTTTTATCCTATATATTGATAGATGATCAAGGCCTCTGATAACAATATTTAAATTCCAAGACACACTTCATAAAACAGCCATCACTTGATAGGATTTGTCAAGAAATCTTGTGCTTAGGAGTTAATTCCCTTTGTTTTCCTTTATTGATGTAGGGATTGTTTAAATATTCTCCCTTCATTTTATAAACTGCTCTAGAATTGGAGATGATTCTCAACTCTTGTTTTACTCGGGTGCAAGATATATTTCTTCTATTTGAAAATATCATGTGTTTAACTTTTAATAACATATCCATAATCCTCCACCTTTTATTTTAGTAATTGTCTCTCTTCTTGATTCAGTTGAATTGCATTTTATTACCTCCCTTTATGCAATATGTTTAGTTCGTTTTATGTCTACAGAATAAGAAGTAATTTATTAATTAAATGGATTTTTTTTAATTTGCTTGTTAAAATGTTTGTATATAAAATATGCTCTTTTAAGATGGAAATCCAGAATCCTTGTGCTGATAAAAGCTGTGTTCATAGCCTGGGAGATTAGAACAGTAAAACCAAGCCTGGGAGATTAGAACAGTAAAGCCAAGCCTGGGAGATTAGAACAGTAAAACCAAGCCTGGGAGATTAAATCAGTAAAAACAAGCATGGGAGATTAGAACAGTAAAACCAAGCATGGGAGATTAGAACAGTAAAACCAAGCCTGGGAGATTAGAACCAGAAGACCAAGCCTGGGAGATTAGAACAGTAAAACCAAGCCTGGGAGATTAGAACAATAAAACCAAGCCTGGGAGATTAGAACAGTAAAACCATATACAACACATTTGATTAGACCAACTGTTCTTTTCTGAAGTCCTTTCCTCTCTAATATCCATTCCTTCCTCAAATCCTCTACATCCTCCTTTCCCCCTCCCCTTGTATCATCTCCTCCCTCAAATCCTCTATATCCTCATTTCTCCCTCCCCTCATAACCTCTCCTCTCTCGTATCATCTCCTCCCTCATATCATCTCCTACCTCAAATCCTCTGCATCCTCATTTCCCCCTCCCCTCGTAAGCTCTTGTATCATCTCCTCCCTCATATCCTCTACATCCTCATTTCCCCCTCCCCTTGTAAGCTCTTGTATCATCTCCTCCCTCAAATCCTCTACATCCTCATTTCCCCCTCCCCTTGTCAGCTCTTGTATCATCTCCTACCTCAAATCCTCTGCATCCTCATTTCCCCCTCCCCTTGTAAGCTCTTGTATCATGTCCTCCCTCATATCCTCTACATCCTCATTTCCCCTCCCCTCCCCTTGTAAGCTCTTGTATCATCTCCTCCCTCAAATCCTCTACATCCTCATTTCCCCTTCCCCTCGTAAGCTCTCGTATCATCTCCTCCCTCAAATCCTCATTTCCCCCTCCCCTATTAAGCTCTCGTATCATCTCCTCCCTCAAATCCTCTACATCCTCTTTTCCTTCTCCCCTCGTAAGCTCTCTTATCATCTCCTCCCTCAAATCCTCTACATCCTCATTTCCCCCTCCCCTCGTAAGCTTTCCTTTAACGGTTGTTGTAATCACCTGGCAGTAGTAAGTCATCCCTGACATCAGGTCCTTAACACACATGTCCCACTCAATGCTTTCCTGTATAGCATCATTATCACACCAACATAATATAACATGAATGGGACATTTTTTCTGTCAATTTCTTAACTGCAAAGTGCAAGTAAAAATACACGCTAACATAAGAGTGAAATATATAATGATATTCCACAGAGCCACACTTAAATGAAAACTTCTACCGGTACTATATTTCATAAATCTCAGATGAATTTGATTTAAGATCCTATGTATTATACTGCCACTAGTGAAGATATTACACTTTTGTGATTTTGAAAATTATATATAAAGGGAACCAGGCTGGGGTGGGGGTTGATTTTTATCATACCGAGTTGTGATTTCCTGGTATCAATGTAAGTAATGTATGTTTAGCTATATTAGGTATTGTGTATGTGTGACACACTTATCAAATGACAAGTCAAATACACAGGTCGCCATTCTTAGAGAAACTATTGAAAAGTTTCTGTTTGTGAAATCCTCTGATCGTCAGTATTTCATTATTATATATTGCAAGATGCCTGTAATATTTGAGCTGTGTGTTTATAAAATTCTATAATAACTAGAAAATATCAATATAGTTGTCATGCCTTATATTCTGGTTGTTCAAGTTCAAAGCTTTTACAGAAAAAATGCAATAATCTGTTCATAATTTAAAAAAAACATTTTAAGCATGTTATAAATAATCGTGTAGATTTGTGTAAGTTTTATAGAATTATTTTGTGTATAAAAGTGTAATAGTGCTGTTTACATGTTTATACACTGTTATATGGTTGCTTGTGTGTGTGTGATTTTATAATTATGTGTAATATATTCTGTGGTATATTACACCTGTGTGCATTGTGTAAAATATAATACAATGTCTGACGTAGGACTTAGTAGTAGGTCGTCAGGAACATGTGTAGTATAGCAACAATCTCAAACATCATGCAGTTTTATATGTGTGTATTTTGTAAGTGCCAATGGAGTATGTGTATACATGTTGTGTACAAGTATGTACATGATGTAATCAAAGTCTACTTTCGTTCTCAAGCTTTTTATCGTGAACAACTTGTACTGTAACTTTGAAAACTCTTTTTGACCAAGAATGATTTACTGGAGAAAATATTTAATACACTTGATTTTTTGGGGACCAAAGAATATGTAGATACAAGTATGGCTGGACACGAGTCTAGTGAGACAGACAGATAACATTTGATCGACTTGATGGGGTCCTGATAAAGAATGAGGTTGACAGTGATAACATTTGATCGACTTGATGGGGTCCTGATAAATAGTGAGGTTGACAGTGATAACATTTGATCGACTTGATGGTGTCCTGATAAAGAGCGAGGTTGACAGTAAGGATTGCACATTGTTTGATTACAGATAAATACGGTTTATTTTAAATAAAGTTATAGATCTGATTACAAAATATATATATTTCAATATTTATTTTATTAATGTTTGTTCCTTAAATGCATGCAATTTATAGAGAATTTTAACCTGTTTTATTAAATTAACTTAAGGACTAACCTTTCTGTTTTACTTTTGATTTATTCTAATTTTATTGAGGCTTGAAATTGTTTAAAATTTTGTCAACATTTGTATAATGTTTTTAGACCGCTTTATTTTATGCATTGGGTGACACCAAAAACAGGTTGCTATGGTGATGTTCCCGACATGTTACTTACCTGTGTCCCAGCTGTTGTAACAGTCGTACACATACTGGGTGTCCTGTACAAGGATACCCCTAATTCAGTTTCCCCGAGTTTTGGAGATTATTTACAAAATATCAAACTGATCATACAATATGACATGGGAAGTACTTCCTTCCAGAAAAATCCACTCTTTACTCTTTCTATTGAATCTGAAAATATTTTCTAACCACAACTAAAAAATATTTTTGTCGAAAATGTCATTTGTATCACATGTGAATTTGTTGACATCATGTGTTGTTTCTAGAGCCATAGGTAAAGTATTATTACAGTTATGACTCATTAAGTGAAATAGCTCATCAACAAAAGTATCCCATCACCAAGTGTCCCGTTACTTTGTATCAGTTTTATATATTGATCACTATGTTCACTAGCAGTAGATCCGTTTGTTGGTGTAGAATTGAGCTAATATATCAATGGTGAAACATTTATCTTCAAAATGTATGCATGAGTTTTGGCTTTACTTACAAGTGTTTCTACTATTTTCCCTTAAATGCTGAAAGCCCTCTAACATCTAGGCTCATCTCCAAAGTAATTGATCAATTATGGTAAATTCCCTGTTAAGAATTCATTGTATTGTTGATTATATTTAATTAAATTGTTGCATGCACATGTAAGATCTTGCCTCTTTTGGAATTTCACAAAAATTGACTGGGTTGTAGTGTTGTGACGTATTCTGCCTAGTCGCTAACTTTTTGTGGTTGTAGGTTATGTTTATGAAAGGTTAGTGATCTGTAAGTGAGAGTATTTTCAGCTGTACCTATTCCACTTACATGAGCCATGGATGGTTAGTGATCTGTAAGTGAGAGTATTTTCAGCTGTACCTGTTCCACTTACATGTATGCTAGGTAAACCATTCCAGTTCTCGTCCTGTTGAGCTGAAGAGAAATTTGATCTGAGTCGGGAACAATTAAGATATTCAGACCTAAACAACCCATAATCTCTGTATAATAATACCCATTAAAAACATTCAATGAGATAAGCACCAACACAAGATTTTGTGATTATTATTGCCACTTTGTATTCCTGAACTTAACACTGTCAGCAGTAAGTATGTTAAGTTAATAAAAACTTCGATAATGAAATACAGGTCTTCGTTGGCTTATTTTTGGTCACCTGAGCACAAGTGACCTTTTGGTTTTGTGCGTCGTCCATTGTTTGTCATCCAATCACCGTTCACATTTTCTATATCTCTTTAAGAACCAGACGTACTGGAGTAATGGTATTTGATAAGATGGTCAGTTGGGATGGAGAGGTAATAAAACTTATTCAAATAAATTACATTAAAATCCATTCACAGGGGGAAAAAATGTTAAAAATCTTTGAGACAACTAATAAAGTTCTGAAAGGTCAAGGGTCATGCTAATTTAATTTACCAGTCGGTTGTTGGGACAGTGCTATCAAGGGTTGTTATTCAAGGTCACAGGGGTCAAACACGACAAAATATAAATTATTTCTTCTCCGTTCTAGAAGACCTAGGGTCCCAGTATCTGAACTGAAGGTAGCTTGGGCTATCAAAACTGTCTATATAATGACACTGATGTACATTCAGGGTCACAGGGCTCAAGTATTCTGAAAATCTTTAATAAATAGCTCAAGTTTTGGAAGGCTAAGGTCATGATATTAAACCAGCTGAGATTGAGGGCTGTCAAAGGTATTGAAATACATGGCATAGGTCGTCATTGGAAGTATTTTGGGAAAATATGTTTAAATCTTTATGAAATGACTCTTCTTTTGTTCCAGTAATCCTTGGTTTATAATATTTGACCATTGTGTACCTAATGGAAGAGATATATCAAATTTGTGTCGTAAGCTCTCTGGATCAGGAGCATCATGTGTGTGGTAAGCTCTCTGGATCAGGAGCATCATTTGTGTGCTAAGCTCTCCGGATCAGGAGCATCATGTGTGTGGTAAGCTCTCCGGATCAGGAGCATCATTTGTGTGCTAAGCTCTCCGGATCAGGAGCATCATGTGTGTGGTAAGCTCTCCTGATCAGGAGCATCATTTGTGTGGTAAGCTCTCCGGATCAGGAGCATCATGTGTGTGGTAAGCTCTCAGGATCAGGAGCATCATGTGTGTCGTAAGCTCTCCGGATCAGGAGCATCATGTGTGTTGTAAGCTCTCCGGATCAGGAGCATAATAACAGCTCATATTCTGATACATTTATCAGATTACATCTTGAAAGGGTAACCTACAAATTTAATTATAATTACAATATTACAACTCTTAAACACACACATGAAGATGAATGCAGACAAAGTATTTCTCTCGCACAATAACACCCAATCACCATCAGATGATTATGGACTAAAATTGTCTAATCATTGTTATTTGACAGTTGTTTTATACATTTGACTGATGTCCTAATAAGTGTGTCAATATAATACCTTTAGATAGCTTCACTCAATCAAGAAACCGGAAATATTTTGTGAATTTCAACAGTTTGAAAGTAACAAGTATAAACCTTTGATCATTTTCATTTGAACATTGATCTTGAAAGTACATTGATGTTGTTAAAAAAACAATGATAGTCCGTTATCCAAGCAAACTACAGGACAAATAACATGACAACCCTAGGACTTCTGGACTACAGGACAAATAACATGACAGCTCTAGGACTTCTGTACTACAGGACAAATAACATGACAGCTCTAGGACTTCTGTACTACAGGACAAATAACATGACAGCCCTAGGACTTCTGGACTACAGCACAAACAAGAGGCCCAAGGGCCTTAGCGGTCACCTGAGTTATATCATAGGTACTGGTAGCTTTATTTTATTGTTTAGATGTGATGTGGAAATCAGCATGTAAACTAAGTGAAATACAATACTTGTCATGTCATCAATGGATAAGAATTTGAAAATATTGGTAAATGTTCCCTTTGGGGCCCCGCCCTAGCCCCTGGGGATGGGGCAGGAATCC